TGCTTCAAAAAAAATTGTGTGTCGAACTTCGTCAGGGAATTTCCCTGGCTTACCAAAATATACTTTTTGTAAATCCTGTGTATATATATAGGGTCATTCACGTCATACATATTGAATGCCCAAGTTTGTCTGTGTTTTAAATCTGTGTTTTAAATCCCTCTTTTACGTTATCACTGCATGCATGCATGCACATCGGAATTCCCCAAAACAGTCAATTGGGTTTTCCCTGCATGGCGTGTAAACAATAATTTGCAGGCAAAATATTATCAGAGAATGTCTTTTCTAGTCTTTATCGCCGACTGTTTCAACTCTTATTGTATATACACCTTTTCTATAAACCTGCTTACACATGGCCATGAAGTTCCGCTAGGGCACTGCATGGCCTCTTATTGCCATTGGCATTCTTCCTCTTAATCACCAAATTTACAGTCATGCATATTGTAATTCTAATATCAAATGCAATTGCTAATATGCTATAGCGGGCCTTCTCGTGTTTTTACAATATATTCGGCAGAATACGATAAAGATTGATTGTCAACATGCAGAGCAAGTTCACCTCGCTATAAGTTTCATTGACGTTTTCTGCTATACCAGTACAATATTACAACAATATTACGGACGGAAATGAATATATGGCTCTTAATCTTATAAATAAAAACGTCTACTCAATGTGAAAATCATGCCAATACAGGTTTGTGTTTTACACAAAATGCCAACGGATGAACAACAAACGTCGAGGCGTAAAAATATAAAGCGTAGTGATTTACATTATTTACGATATACGTCGGTATCATATGACATGCATAAATACATCCATTTCCACCATAGCCATGAAGGGCGATGGCTATAAACACGCGGACTTTTAGCTAGAGTAGGGATTGTTCTTTGTATAGGCATGCAGTATCTAGCCTTTAAAAAGGCTTGACTTTGAATTTTACTGCATATACGTGGCACAGTTTCGACCTAAAGGGCCTTCGTCAGGAGAGTTATCATACTAACTCTCCTGACGAAGGCCCTCAGGTCGAAACGTCGAGAAGTGTTTTGTCTATTTTAGGCAGTTGTTATACCACATTGATGCTAAGTTATATTTGAAGACGCTGCTCCCTGTTTATAGCTATAACTTATATTGCAAGGATTGGAACGTATTCTATTACATTTACTCACAATCATGATGATCTCTATAGGAATTGTCAGATTTACTAGAAAATATAATTTTTCACTGGAATTTTTTGCAAGGAAAAGCCATACATTCGCGTCCATTTTCTGCGAAAAACACTTGTGGCGGCGTCATTATAGTTGCACGTCAGGTCGACATCCCCTGTGGAGTGTAGGCTGTTTATCACATGCATGCATGCACGAATTGAAATATTTCTTTTATCAATTTCCAAGACACCACGCAATTGGAATGTTAATGATATGCGATATTAGCGCGTTGTATTACAAACGGACAGTTTGGTTCAGCCAGAATGGAATGTCGAAATATTTTGCGCCGGACAGCTAAAATTTCACAACGATTTATGCACCAAAATCGTCAATATTTTTGCGCTGAAAAAAAAAGTAAAGTACGCGCCAAACTACCTACAAACTTAGGCTAAACTGAGCTAAGACTGCTCAGTTGAACGGGATGAGCGATTTAGCTTACTAACTTGTAAAAATGTACATTTTATATTGCATATTTAGCAAACTAAGAAAAATGTGCGCCGAAATACGAAAATTTTAAGTTTGACAGCACATTTTTTACACCAAACATTATTATGCAAAATTGCACGCCAAATATTACGACTGCACGTCGGACATGTCCCGGCGTAGGCCTTCTACATTCCATACTGGAGTTCAGGAGCACAATGATTTTATTTTATGTCGCAAAGCGAAGAGTTTCAAATTGCGAGTGACGAAGATAAGGCTGCTATAGAAAAAAGCAATATTGCTAAAAGGAATGCTTCACGAATTTATTTGTTGAATGAGGACCCGAGATGGCGAGGTTATTTGTCGTCGCTACAGACGCTACTTTATATCTTGTCCTACAATTACAAATATATAAAGTTTTAAATAACGGTTTATTTACAAGCTTCGCTTTATATCTTCTTCAAAATATGATAATATTTTCTTCAAAATATAATATAAAATAAGCATATTCATTACAGCCGGTCGAGCGAGAACGAGAAGAAAATAGGAAACTGAATTAAAACGACACATATAGGTCATGTAAGGTTTATATAACAAACGTAAACAAACATTGTTATGCAGATACAACATGCTGCATGTACTTACTTCACGGCTCCCGAAACAATTCATTTCCTCAAGTAAAAATCCTGCTCTCGTTAAAGTTTGCCTCGCCCTTCTCTCTTGAAATCCAAAGACTAATTGACTGAAAGTTGAAAAATCCGAACATTTAACAGCACAGGAACTTCCCGTTTTGAGCGGAAGTTTAATCATGGATGAAAGACATAATAATGGACAAACAAAATACCATGTCACATGCAGTGATGTGAAAAATGAGGATAAATACATGCATTCTATGTTTGCATTGTAAGGGTTTCTACAGACCCACATAAGAGGACGCTTCCCAGGCTATGATCCTTAATTAACCTTGTTTCTGCAATCCCGCATGTCTGTATTTGTATTTACTTCTTCGATATTATCATTTAACATTGCATGATAACCCTTTTCAGCTTCATGATTGATAAGACCCATGATTTCATAGATATCTCTATTCGCGCACCTAGGCCTGCTGGGGATTGAACTTCTGCAAGAACCGTTTGATATAAGGCGAAAGAGCCCAGATGTGCGCTCATATGTGACTCAAAACTCATGTGGTGCATAAAATTTCTTGGCTGACATCAAACCAGACCGTGTGACCGGATGTTGTACTGTATCATATTGATCTGAAACACGTTGAAACACGCAATAATTTCAAAGTGTTGGTCCTTGCATGAACAGCTTGACGTCTAAACAAAACTAAGTATTTTATTGTTCATAGTGGCAGCAATTTGTATTGTTTTAGCGAGCAAAGTTTATGTTTTATGGACTATCTTGTTATGTTTGAAGCAGTTGATATTTCTTGGGTTTTTCCGTGAACTCGAGCTTCCTGTCGCATTAGTGAACTTTTTTCTTGAAATTGGAATCTCAAAATTGACGGAAGTCGGAAGTGCAACAAAAGAATTCTTTCTACTCTACACTACACTGACTACAGGGTGAATTAAAAACGCAGCACTAAGTATTCGTAAATACCCTGAGAAACCAAGTGTCTCTCTCTCTGGTAAAAACCAAGAAATTGTAGTGATTATTGTCAGTCACTGGTTGTGAGTCAACTGCATGATTTGCAATTGTCGCAAAATAAATGAATTTACTTCAGTTGTTTCCGGATGCTCAAGTATCCCGCATATTCTTGCGCTACTGGAGATAAAGTGAAATTTAGTGACAGTTAAGTCTACTGAGTACTGTCCACTACACTTTATGTTGTCTCGCTATAATAAAATTTATCCTGATAATAAATCGCATTAGAGATTTATTTAAGAATGATAAAAAAGTTAATAATGATTAGTAACGCTATATAGGTGTATCGTAATTTGCATGAGTGTATTTGTATGCAGTGCATAGTAGGAGTCGGTGGATTGTGAGGTGCATTTTCACTAGACAATGCATATGAATATATCCTTATGTTACTGTACTCTGGTCATTTATTTTATAGTCGCACTTCTTTATGACGCAACTTCACACATATGCATAGCTAAAATAAGCTTTGTCAACTATAGCTATAATATATTTTATTGTTCAGGACTATTTCCTCAAAAATCAATGCTTGGGAATCAGGCGTTTCTTACGCAATTACACCATCTTAAAGCATATATCTGTGAGTTGGAAATAGCATTTTTAAGTTCTTGCCAAATCTGTCGTTTATGATAACCACAGAAATACGCCCGAAGACGTAAAATTACGCTTCTTTTATGGTGAAAGGATCTGCCACATTTTATGGGCAGCTACGTTGCAGATTGTGATTTTGCTAGCTACCCATTCATATGTCAAATGATACGTTTATTAGAACAATACGATTCCATCGGCTATAACCTCAAGCATGCGCCTTACGACGCGTCAAAATTAATTACAACCATATAGATTGCACGTGAGCACTATAAGACCGGACAAAAATTAGCTCTTATGAAAAATCTCCACCTATATATCACATATTATGCATGTATGCATTGCCATGACGACAAAAAAAAATGAAGCAAACTTCAAATATATAGTTGATGTAAGTGTTGAACTGAACTGAACTGAACTTTATTTGACATGCCCATGCATGCAATTGGGCTCGTCGTATAATTCACATCCAGAGGTTTACTAATACTAATTTCAAATGGCGCCATCTATTAAACTTAAAGTAATCAAAGTATACATTTGCATGGCCAGTGCATGCAAAGTGGATAAAGTTGGATAAAGTTGGATAGTCGTAACTTCCAGTTTTGAGCGAAACAACATACCAAACCAGATGCGGAGGCGTGAAACATTTACCAACATTAATTTTTAATGATACTTCCGTAGCATGATTATATATAGAAACCTTTTATTTGCGTGTTAAGTTGAAGTTTAAATTTAAAAGAACATTTTGTCTGATTTTCGCTTAAATATATGATCCATTATTGCTCGTACATACATCTGCTATGTAGCACTACACTTTCTGCAAGGGACACTTGATGGACATCTTGGCATATTTTTGAACTGCACGAACTGGTGACGCATTTTAGTGCACGATCTATACCTAATTTCCATACTGATTAAAACGCTTTTTATGCACAATTCACGCGGGTTGGCAAGTCCGTCGTCTTTCCAGAAAATCGGTACAAAATTCAGTGTCAAAAAATTTAAACCGCCGGGATGTTATTATACCAGGATATTACTTTTGATGCCGGAAAGCAAGCATTTAAGGTCATGTATTTTGCAAAAAACAACAAATTATGAAATATGTAGTAAACATGCATAGAGGTCAAGATTGTCTAACTTAATTAACAGGCGTGTCTAATGTCTTTTGCGATATCAATAGAAATTTCATTGCAGATTTTATACAGAATGCGTTTGAGTTCTTTTAGTATTATTATTAATACTTTATAGATCGGTTTATTAGCAAAAAAAATATGTCGTATTTTGACACAATTTCAAGTAACAGTGTTAAAATACCCAGAAATGTGTTTCGCACGCTGCGGGAGACATCAACGAGGCAATACTATCAGTACCTACAAAACCAATTGCAGTGGTGCTGTTCGGCGGTTGGGACAATGATTGGAACTGGTATACAGTATTTGATGGCGTACTGCAGCTGGTGCACTGAATAATAGCAAGGTTAAAAAGGTAACTGCTGCTTCTGCTTATGGTCGTGACCCCTGGGTGACTTGGTGGTGATGTGTTGTGTGGATGCTAAAAAAATATTTGAAAATTTGTTCTTGAAGCATGTTAATCAAATCAAAGTATAAAAAATAAAGATGAACTTTCCAATTACCCTTTCTCGCGATAACGTACTTTCAATTTTTTCAAACTGGTTTTAAAAGTTATAAAAACATGAAAAGCAATTTTTTAGAATCAACAGACCATTGGAAGAATAATTCCAGCCTAAATAAAGACTGTGGCCGTTATGAGGTCTCAAGCTTGCGGTTTTGAGGAAAAGTACTCCCAAAATGACGGCATATTCGTCATCGTGAAAAAGGCTAATTAGTTCACGCGGGTGGGCTACAGTGCGAGACTGCTATTTACTGTGAAAACTTTCTAAAATGGCAAACAACCTATGTCTTCTTTCAAAATCCTACAAAAAATGGGATAAATCATATAAATTCTGTAATGTGAGTTTGTCCATGATTTTAAACATTGAAAATATTAGACAGTGTTGTTGTTTGTGTTGTTGCCAGTTGTTCATTTGATCTTTACTACAAGTTTACAAACCGTAGATGAAGTACTGAGAGTGCTTGGGCCGCTCTTCAAAATATATTTTCCAGCACCAGTGTCACTGGCATTGGCACTGTGCTGTAATGTTACGATTAAAGGATTTGTTGACGAACATGGCTCGGTGTATTCTCGTAGCGTAAATGTTGCTATAAGAGAATAAATAAGTGTCACTGGCATATCAACCTCAGGACGCAGTACACGGAATCGTATAATTGATGAATATTTAATTTGAATTGAAATTATTCGATCTATGTAATAAGAAATACGAAAATTATAACTAAGATTAAGTATAAATTAAATTACATGTGCTTCGGATTAAATCCCCGTTTACATTACACTCGAATTATTAGCACGGCACGGCTAAAATGGGTACCCGTACCCATTTCATCTGTGCTCGGCCTTTGTTTTGGTAGCCTGACACTAATAAACGCCGACTTTTCGCCATTTTGTTTATTTTAGCAGAATCATTACTGCAGTACAATTGATGAATTACTAACTATATATCTTCTGTAATCAATGGCAAATACTTCAATTTCACTAACTTACAGGAGTGGGATTTGAGCATAAATTGCATAATTGAATCCTTTGCGAGTTCTAATTCCAATCACTCTTGCTCATAGCTAATAAAAATAACTCTAGTATATAGCTACAACTAGCCAATCACAATTCAGGGTACAAAATGTACATTTTAAGTTGTCTAAATCAGTTTAATAATTTCCTAATTGTGTTATCTACTGTAAATTGTAGTTAGGTGAATTGTAATAATTTGATTACAGAAGATATCAGTATAATAAGTTATAGAACTCGTATGGATAATTTCGTATTAACAGCATTCCCGAGTATACGTTCTATTACCATTATTAATTTTACTCCGAATAGCATCCAGTAATTTAATGTATTATGCTAACAATAATAAATAATGATCGTCTTAATTAATATATACTTACCATTATCTGCAGATGGGTTTAAAACGATAGATCCGTTCTCTATTATAAGATATTTTCCGATATAGTGCGCGCTTTGTATTTTGCACTGGAGTATTTTGACGAGTACAAAGATATCTTCAGCATTTGGTATATCGCATAGATCAATCCCTGAAAATTTCAGTCATATGAGATTGGTTTAATTTTGTATACTATTCTATCACATTACAACAATATCGTTAGGTTAAAAGGCCTATTTACTCCGTCATGAAGTGGATATAGCCTAATCATATAAATATTATTAATTTTGGAAAAAATCATCTCAAGCTATAAGATCCCCTTGAGGAATTAAATTGCATTGAACTCTCAGTTTTCCCAATTAAGATAGCGAATCTTATACAATCCCTTCGCATGCTGAACTGATTAGACTAGACGGGGTTGACCCACACGGCATAGTGTGCCCGATTCCATCTCAATAAACCGGAGATCTTAGTTATATGTTTAAATTATATACTAGAAGTTACTATCGCAAGGGAAGTGCTGGCATCGCAAGTCCATTTATCACATGTTGAAGAAAAACATCGGCTGTTTAAACTAAATTTGTCTACTCCATAGAGGCTTTCTGGGCTTTTTTCAAATGAATAATATTGTGAACATTGTCGTGAACAATTGTGCATTAAGTGTTAGGCGTCACTACTGTTACAGTAACAATGTTGCGACAACATATGTTTTTGCGCGTGTATTTGATACAGCATTAATTTGCTCCTGCCAGCAGCTTCAAGCGTGCTAAGAGTTAGAGCAGTTGTGAATAGACTCATCAAGGTTATTTCCGCCATATTGTCTGCGGCTGCAGGGCAAAAAAAAACTGGGTTTTAAGCTGCACGACCTGCCAATTCAGGCTTTTACATTAAGATTTAATACATATGGCGGTCACAGAATGTTTTCCTTTTTGCCACCATTTCTAACGAAGCACTGTGTTGTTGTGGCGAGACGGGATTTTATTTCAATTAATAATAGTAATACTTAATATCGTGTGTCCAGAGCCCGCAATGCTTTGCTTGCAAGTGTGAAAATTGAAGGCTATTATAAGAAGTGGGTGGCGGCTTTTCCGGGCGGCTGTCATAACGCGGGAATACAAGTCAACACAAATCGTCCTTTGTTGTGACTTCAAGCAAGTTAAACCGCTCAATAAAACGAGTGCTTCGTTAGAAATCGTTAAATTCAGTGTTCACTTGCGGTTTCCCTACGAAGTGGCAAAAACGAAAACTTTCTATGACCGCCATTCGTATTGAATCTTAAAACTCATTGTCATCGGATCAGATGGCATCTTAAAGTGGTTCGCTCATTTTAACTTGCGATTTCTGTGTGAAAAATTGACTGATTTTAATAAAAATTAAACCATTTTAAGGAGGAAATCGTCCTCAGTAGATACATCTTTTTTTAGATCGATATGTTGCCAATTCGCCATAATATTCACGTGAGTTAAGCCCGTGCTTACTCCTCGGAATGTTGTCATGCGGTTGGAAAAGGCGACAAAACTCTGATACCCTCCCCCTAGGGTAAATTTGGCCCCAAAAATCGATTCCTGATGTAAAATTGGGCCAACGGGTCAGTTCTTCGGCTTTTTTTGCCTGATTTTTTCCCGATATTTGTATTATTGTGAAATAGTATTGCCGGTGATGTGATAATTCATATCATCATGCATGTTTCTATAAAAAAATCGGCAAAAATCCTCAAAAGGCTCGATTTTGACGCTAAAGATATCAAAATAATCCTGAAAATGTGAACTAACTGTACTAAATCACTGTAACCGTTTTAGTTTGTATTTTGCGCAATATTTTACAAATTAGGCCGCTTTGATGTGTAATATTGAATAATAAATAAATCGCGTGCATTAAGCCTACAGCACACGAGAGCTATCAGCTGAGCTACGAGTTACTCGTGCCTGTTAGCGCAGCCGACAGCTCACCGTGTGCGGATAGATTTTTCTGAGTTTTCCGCCACATGCAACCTTTTCTCGCATATCAAGCATGTTTGATACAATTTAAATCGTCTTTTCAAGCTCTATCGTTTGGTGGTATTCCGGGGTCTTTAGCCCAAATACTTGCCGAGATATTTAGTTTTCTTTCTTCCCGACAATACCGGCGCGGCTCGAGGCCAGTTTTTTTTGCCCTGCAGGCAATATGACGGAAATAATCTTGCAGGGGCTCGCAGACGCAGGTAACTTCCATATATAGAACGCATACCATATATGGTTTTCGCCAGAATGAATGACAAAAATCGAGATTTCGCCTCAATATACGTGCCCAGACTCCGAGGCGTACGCGGCCAATCTCCAAATTAGTGTACTGGCTCGCTGCGCTCGCCAGCAATTAAATAACTTTTTTTAATTTTCAGTGGCGATAAATTAAATTCAGTTGGTATTAAGTCGGGTTCCAGCTAATGTTTTTAAATGTATAACATCGCATTTTTCCTCAATATGCGAGCGGTCCCGTTGTTCTCAAATTTCCGACAAGTAACAATTTTAAAACAGGACGCCTGTTTTGGCGTTAACTCCGGACACGTGCCAGTCTTCAATATAAAGCTTCTGAACATAAACAATACAGTTCATACTCATTACTCCGGCGTCAGCGACGAAGTGAAAATTCGCCGGGTTTTTTATTATTATTATTATTTTTTTTTATTATTATTTTTTGTCGTCGCAAGTGCATGTGTTTTGGCGCGAAATATAGCTACTATATTATATAGTTTTTGAAATGTGTATGTGACCGTATTTATCTACGTTACAGTTTTGTCTCCCAAGAGTTGTGGTGCACAGCTTTGGCTAATTTTCCGATGCGCGATATGATTTCGCTCGCACGAAACTGCAATTACTCCAAGAGGAAAAAATAAACCGTTTTATTGATGCTGTTCGATCAAGTTTAGATTTAATTGGGGTAAGAATTTTATTTAATACATGTAGATTCTGGTCCTACTTCATTAATATCGCTGCTATTTCGCCGTTTATTAAATATATTTTTACCCCAATTCAATCTAAACTTAATCGAACAGCATGAAAAGAACGGTTTATTTGTTCCTCTTGGAGGAATTGCCGTATCGTGCGAGCGAAATCATATCGCGCATCGGAAAATTAGCCAAAGCTGTGCACCACAACTCTTGGGGGACAAAACTGTGACGTAGATAAAAATGGTCACATACACTTTTCAAATACTAGTAAATTTCGCGCCAAAACACGCTTGCGACGACGAAAAAATAAAAAAAAAACAAAAAAACAAAACAAAAACAACAACAAAAAAACCAGGTGAATTTTCAATAAGTAATAACAATTTGTGGTAACACTACGTATATTTGTTTAGTTCAAAGCCCGTTAACCCTGGCCTTCATCAGTTCAGATTCAGTTCAGTTTATTTTCAGTTTTTATTTTCTTTTATTAAGTATTTGCAATGATGAAGGCCAGGAAAACTTTGCTCTAAACAAATGTACGTGGTGTTCCCACATGGCACATGCAAATTGATTATTTAACTTATTTCACTATGCAAAATTTGAAGAATGTTAAGTATAACAATCAGGCTGGAAGGAAAGGATGTGTTAGTCAGTTGGTGACCCGAAAACCCGCCAAAATTGCATACCTTTATTGTCCAAAATTACCGTCTCGTCTACCGTTGATCGCTCCGCGTTTACCACTGATGATTCCGCGTTTACCATTGACGACTCTGCGATTAAATTTAGCACTGATGGCTCTGGCCGCTCTGTGTTTACCACTGATGATTCTGCGTTTACCATTGACGACTCTGCGATTAAATTTAGCACTGATGGCTCTGGCCGCTCTGTGTTTACCACTGATGATTCTGCGTTTACCATTGACGACTCTGCGATTAAATTTAGCACTGATGGCTCTGGCCGCTCTGTGTTTACCACTGATGATTCTGCGTTTACCATTGACGACTCTGCGATTAAATTTAGCACTGATGGCTCCGGCCGCTCTGTGTTTACCACTGATGACATTGCGCCTGCTCTGAATAATTTCTATAATATGCCAGCGTGTTTCACATCACCCCAATTTTACAATTTCACATGCAGATATTACTGACGACGTATACATATATATATATATATACAAGGTGCATGCACGATACAATTCTGTCGAAGCTTATTCACTTTTGACACATAGAATATAGCGAATATAACTGAAACTGAATGTCCGATAATAATCTCGCATTTTGATCGACATGCAGGAATTTTTAATTCCTTTGACCCATCTGAGTTATCACAAAAAAAGTCAGATTTCACAATAATGGAGGAACCACACTGAGCGCGCAGGGTTAAACTATATGATCTCGGTATATAGAATGCATTTGAAGAAGAAAAACCGCAGTCAAACATGACTAAAACGCAGAACACAGCAAGGTTAAGAAATAAGGAAATAAAGATACGATTAGATAAGGGGTTTCAATTCTGTATCTCATACCCATATTATAGCTAATATTGATAAAAATTTACTGAAAATATACTTACCATGTACAATTTGCTATTAAAACTACTATTTATTATGCGTAGTAGATTCATGTTCACCGAAGCTTCTGAAATTATTGGGTGACCATTCAGTAAGAAGATGACATCATTCTTCCTATAATAATATATTCAATTTCAATTAATTCAATTGTTCAATTAATATATTATCTTTTTTTCTTCTGCAATCAACCTGCATTAATGTAACCATGTGGATATCAGTTTATAAGTAAGGCTGCCTCTCCTGGAATAAATTTAATAAATTTGGTACAATTATTAAAATCAGATTGGCTGTTTTATATGTATCCGACCGAACCAGACCTGTAAGCAAGGTCACACTGGATACCTAACCATGCACTAAAAACATGCACTAAAAAGTAAAAACCTTGGGCCGGTTGTTCAAAAGCCGGTTAGCTTATAACTCTTCATGGGCAAAAGCAAATCTTCACGTTAATGTTTTTAATCGCTTGTTTACAAAGTTGAATATCTTTTTTCATAAATATTTTCTGATTGAAAGAAGTAATATTTTCTAAAGTTTTAAAACAAACAGTGGTTCAGAAGCACATATAAACTAAAAGACTGGATTAAAATTTAACCCATGCATGCAGGGTTAGCGCTAACCTAGCTTTGAACAACTGGCCCCTGACGATAATTGCTGGCTAAAAAATAATGCTATAAATAAATTTAGTCTATATATTTGCACGTCTATCTTGGATCGGTATTTTGCTAAAACACATAGAGTAGTACCTCAAGCCAAAGCCATGAAAATATGTTCCAAAATCAACTCTATTAACTCTAATTCCTTCTTTTGTTACCACCCTGTTCTTATTTGCATCTTGCATGATTTGCCGTTCACCGCCAGGAAATTCTTCCATATTCAGTGTAACTTCAACAATTTCCTTGTCCAGTTCCATGCCCATCTTAGATACAAATTTGGCAGCTTGAGACTCAAAGAACCCTTCATTGCTGTCTGGTGTCTTTGGCTCATTGACATTGTCTCGTTTTTTCTGCAGGAGAATAGATTAAAAGATATTTCAGGGTGAATCACGATATTTTAGTCAGAGTATACTATATGTTTACAGACTAGAGTAAGTTCTGATGCATAAAAACGGCTATCTCCTAACTTCAACAATTTCCTTGTCCAGTTCTACGCCCATGTTAGGTACAAATTCGGCAGCTTGGGACTCAAAGAACTCTTCATTGCTGTCTGGTTTCTGATTTCTTGATTGATTGCCATTGCCATTATTGTTTCTTTTTTTCTGCAGGAGAAAATGAATGAAAAAATTCTTTAAGGGCGAATCATGACATTTTATAGTCACTATATATTGTGTACAGACTAGATAAGATCCTACCGCCATAACATATTTTTCAATAAACGTATGCATTCAGGGCCCACGTAGTTATGTCTATACGCACAGACAAATCTCAATGACTCAGAATTTTTTCTTTTGAGATAAGTCAATGTATTGATCATTATTTTAGTTTACTTTCCTCTAGATCTATTTTGCCAAACGCTAAAAATGTTTTTGACAACTTAAAAGTTGCTATGGTATATGATATAAATTTTTATTGCGGCTAGAAGAGCGCTCATGAAACGCATTCATGCAGTTATAAGGTACTTCATAAGAATTAAGATAGCTGTATCTATATATTAGTTATATACGGTTAACATGCAAGCATTATAGGCAGTGAAATATTATTTATCAGTTATCTATAACGTATTTAGTTATCTACTGAACAAAACACAAAATGCCAGTGAAATTTCAGGAAGCATATGTATGTTTGTATTTTTTTAAATAATGTAAAGTCGGTTCTGCGCATATATGCCGCGCATCAACACATTCCATCAGTGGGGGAGCAACTTTTGGAATGTTAATGATATGCGATATTAGCGCGTTGTATTACAAACGGACAGTTAATTCGGTTCAGCCAGTATGGAATGTCGAAATATTTTGCGCCGGACAGCTAAAATTTCACAACGAATTATGCGCCAAAATCGTCAATATTTTTGCGCTGAAAAAAAAAGTAAAGTACGCGCAAAACTACCTACAAACTGAGGCTAAACTGAGCTAAGACTGCTCAGTTGAACGGCATGAGCGATGAAGGCTAGATTTAGCTTACTGACTTAAAACTGTAAAAATGTACATTTTATAATTGCATATTTAGCAAACTAAGAAAAATGTGCGCCGAAATACGAAAATTTTAAATTTTACACCAAATTTTGCACACCAAACATTATTATGCAAAATTGCACAACAAATATTAAGACTGCACGCCGGACATGTCCAGCGTAGGTCTTCTACATTCTATACTGGAGTTCAGGAGCACAATTATTTTATTTTATGTCGCAAGGCGAAGAGTTTCGAATTGCGAGTGACGAAGATAAGGCTGCTAGAAAAAAGCAATATTGCTGAAAGGAATGCTTCACAAATATATTTGTTGAATGAGGAGCTGAAAGGAATGCTTCACAAATTTATTTGTTGAATGAGGACCCGAGATGGCGAGGTTATTTGTCGTCGCTACAGATGCTACTTTATCCTTTGTCCTACAATTACAAATATATAAAGCTTTAAATTATTTACAAGCTTCGCTTTATATCTTCTTTAAAATATAATAATATTTTCTTCAAAATATAATATAAAATATATAGCTCGCTCGACAGCCAGTCGAGCGAGAACGAGAAGAAAATAAGAAACTGAATTAAAACGACACATAGGTCATGTAAAGATTATATAACAAACGTAAACAAACATTGTTATGCAGATACAACATGCTGCATGTACTTACTCTAAACCTTTTCAAAAAAGGCATTGCTCAAGTAAAAATCCTGCCCTCGTCAAAGTTTGCCTCGCCCTTCTCTCTTGAAATCCAAAGACTAATTAACTGAAAGTTGAAAAATCCGAACATTTAACAGTACAGGAACTTCCCGTTTTGAGCGGAAGTTTATTTATGGATGAAAGACAAAACAAACAAAATACCATGTCACATGCAGTGATGTGAAAAATGACGATAAATACATGCATTCTATATGTTTGTATTGTGAGGGTTTCTACAGACCCACATAAGAGAACGTTTCCTAAGCTATGGTCCTTAATTAACCTTGTTTCTGCAATCCCGCATGTTTATATTTGTATTTACTTCGTCGATATAATCATTTAACATTGCATGATGACCCTTTTCAGCTTCATGATTGATAAGACCCATGTTTTCATAGATATCTCTATTCGCGCACCTAGGCCTGCTGGGGATTGTGCTTCTGCAAGAAACGTTTGATATAAGGCGAAAGAGCCCAGATGTGCGCTCATATGTGACTCAAAACTCATGTGGTGCTTAAAATTTCTTGGCTGACATCAAACCAGACCGTATATGTTGACCGGATGTTGTACTGTATCATGTTGATCTGAAACACGTTGAAACACGCAATAATTTAAAAAGTGTTGACCCTTGCATGAACAGCTTGACGTCTAAAGTTCCGTCTGAACAAAACTTAGTATTATATTGTTCATAGTGGCAGCAATTTGTATTGTTTTAGCGAGCAAAGTTTATATTTTATGGACTATCTTGTTATGTTTGAAGCACTTGATATTTCTTGGGTTTTTCCGTGAACTCGAGCTTCCTGTCGCATTAGTGAACTTTTTTCTTGAAATTGGAATCTCAAAATTGACGGAAGTCGGAAGTGCAACAAAAGATTCCTTTCTACTCTACATTATACAGCCTACAGGGTGAATAAAAACGCAGCACTAAGTATTCGTAAATACCCTGAGAAACCAAGTGTCTCTCTCTGGTAAAAACCAAGAAATTGTAGTGATTATTGTCAGTCACTGGTTGTGAGTCAACTGCATGATTTGCAACTGTCGCAAAATAAATGAATTTACTTCAGTTGTTTCAGGATGCTCAAGTATCCCGCATATTCTTGCGCTACTGGAGATAAAGTGAAATTTAGTGACAATTAAGTCTACTGTCCACTACACTTTATGTTGTCTCGCTATAATAAAATTTATCCTGATAATATTTTGAATTAGACATTTATTTCAGAATGATAAAAAAGTTAATAATGATTAGTAACGCTATAGGTGTATCGTAATTTGCATGAGGGTATTTGTATGCAGTGCATAGTAGGAGTAGGTGGATTGTGATTTGTGAGGTGCATTTTCACTAGACAATGCATATAAACATATCCTTATGTTACTGTACTCTGGTCATTTATTTTATAGTGGCACTTCTTTATGACGCAACTTCACACATATGCATAGCTAAAATAAGCTTTGTCAACTAGCTATAATATATTTTATTGTTCCGGACTATTTCCTCAAAAAAAAATGCTTGGGAATCAGGCGTTTCTTACGCAATTACACCATTTTAAAGCATATATCTGTGAGTTACAAATCGCATTTTTGAGGCATGCATGCATTGCCATGACAACTTGACTAGAATGACCAAAAAAAATGAAGCAAACTTCAAATATATAGTTGATATAAGTGTTGACATGCCATGCATGTAATTGGGCTCGTGGTATAATTCACATCCAGAGGTTTTCTAATACTAATTTCAAATGACGCCAGCTATTAACCTGAAAGTTATCAAAGTATATTTCTGGGGCCGGTGCTCGAAATGTGGATAAAGGTGGATAAAGTTGGATACTGCATGGAATGTCGTAACTTCCAGTTTTGAGCGGAACAACATACCAAACCAGATGCGGAGGCGTGAAACATTTACCAATATTAAATTTTTAATGATACTTCCGTAGCATGATTATATATAGAAACCTTTTATTTGGGTTTTAAGTTGAACTTAAATTTAAAAGAAAATTTTGTCCGATTTTCGCGTAAATATATGATCCATTATTGCTCGTACATACATCTGCTATGTAGCACTACACTTTCTGCAAGGGACACTTGATGGACATCTTGGCATATTTTTGAACTGCACGAACTGGTTACGCATTTTAGTGCACGATCTATACCTAATTTCCATACTGATTAAAACGCTTTTCATGCACGATTCACGCGGGTTGGCAAGTCCGTCGTCTTTCCAGAAAATCGGTACAAAATTCAGTGTCAAAAAAATAATAATACCAGGATATTACTTATGATGCAGGAAAGCAAGCATTTCGGAAAACTGAAATTTGAGGTCATGTATTTTGCAAAAAACAACAAATTATGAAATATGTAGTAAACATGCATAGAAGTCAAGATTGTCTAACTTAATTAACAGGCGTGTCTAATGTTATTTGCGATATGAATAGAAATTTCATTGCAGGCTTAATGCGTTTGAGTTATTCTAGTATTATTATTAACACTTTATAGATCGGTTTATTAGCGAAAATATGTGTCGTATTTTGACATTATTTCAAGTAACAGTGTCAAAATAGCCAGAAATGTGTTTCGCACTGTGTGGGAGACATCAACGAGGCGTGACCACTAGTACCTTCAAAACCAATTGCAGTGGTGCTGTTCGGTTGGAACTGGTATACAGTATTTGATGGCGAACTGCAACTGTTGCACTGAATAATAGCAACGTTAAAAAGGTAACTGCTGGTTCTGTTTATGGTCGTGACCCCTGGGTAACTTGATAGTGGTTGATCGTGTGGATCCTAAAAGAATATTCGAAAATATGTTCTTGAAGCATGTTAATCAAACTGATTGATATAAGTATTATGAAATATAACTGAACTGCCTAATTAGGTCACGGGTGTGCTACAGTGTGAGACTGCTATTTACTGTGAAAACTTTCTAAAATGGCAAACAACTTGTGCCTTTTTTTAAAATCTCACAATAAATGGAATGAATTATATAAAATTCTGTATATAATAATGTGAGTTTATCGATAATTTTAAACATTGAAAATATTAGACAGTGTTGTTGCCATTGTTCTTTTGATCTTTAAACAAGTTTACAAACCGTAGATGAAGTACTGAGAGAGTTTGAGCCGCTCTTGAAAATATATTTTCCAGCACCAGTGGAAAATCGGCATATCAGCCTCAGGACGCAGTACACGGAATCGTATAATTGGTGGAATATTTAATTTGAATTGAAATTATTCGATCTATGTAATAAGAAATAAGAAAATTATACTGACTAAGATTAAGTATAAATTAAATTACATGTGCTTCGCATTAAATCCCCGTTTACATTACACTCGAATTATTGGCACGGCACGGCTAAAATGGGTACCCGTATACCCATTTCATCTGTGCTCGGCCTTTGTTTTGGTAGCCTGAACACTAATAAACGCTGACTTTTCGCTATTTTGTTTATTTTATCTTCTGTAATGAATGGCAAATACTGCAATTTCACTGGCTTACAGGAATGTGATTTGAGCATAAATTGCATAATTGCATCCTTTGCGAGTTCTAATTCCAATCACTCTTGCTCATAGCTAATAAAAATCACTTGGTACAAAATATGCATTTTAAGTCCTAATTGTATTATCTACTGTAAATTGTAGTTAGATAAATTTTAATAATTTGATTACAGAAGATATCAGTATAATGAATTATAGAACTGGTATATATATGGGTAATTTCGTATTAATAGCACTCCCTAGTACTAGTATTCGTTCTATTACCATTATTAATTGTACTCCAAATAGATCTAGTAATTTTATTATGTTAATAATATTAATAACAATAATAAATAATGATCGTCTTAACTTAATTGTAATCGTAATTAATATAATATACTTACCACCATCTGCAGATGAGTTTCTTAAAACGATAGATTCGTTGTTCTCTATTATAAGATATTTTCCGATATGGTGCGCGCTTTGTATGCTGCACTGGAGTGTATTGATGAGTACAAAGATATTTTCAACATTTGGTATATCGCATAGATCAATCCCTGAAACCATATGAGATTGTTTTAATTTTGTATACTATTCTATTACTTTACAAATTATCGTAACTGCAAAACTTAGTGATTGACGGCTTGGATCATAGGACTGAAAAAGCACCTTTTTAACGTGATTTTCAGTTTACTCATGTCATACGGCTGTATTCTAAAAGCTCACTCACACTCACACTCAAGTTAAACTCGAGTGAGCTGCTCCCAAGTGTGATTGAAGTGTGAGAATAAGTGGAGTGTGAGTATAACTTTGCACTTTGAAAGGGGTTACTCATTTGTTAAGCAAACTGGTCAAATTGGTTCAAAAAGCTTACTCAAGTGTGACTAACTGGAGTGCAGTTCAGTAAACAATCATGTATATAAGAGTTTGATTTTCTCAGCTGTGTCCAAAGACAACGTTCAGTGAGATGTCCCAAGGCAGGCAGTATTTTTCACAACTAGAAAAGTCACTTCTTACAGAGTTTATAGTGGCAAAATACAAAGACGTCCTGGAAAGTAAAAGAAATTATTTTAGGAACAATATCCCAGAAAAACGCGTTGTGGGAAACGTTATCGCAAGAATTAGAAATTAGCCACTGTCGCCCAGTAAAATACCATGAATGTCCCCTCGTTCAAACTTTGCACATAAGCGACTGTTCTGATAAAAAATTCTCGCATCGTGAACGCTACCTGACCAGCGTGTGACAATATTATTTAGAATTTCTAAACTGATTTGCTCCGGAAACAACTTGCACGTTAATGGAAAGATACCCTTTTCGATTTCGATACAGTTCTGCATTTTGACCCCTGGGAGATGTAATTTTAACGTGGGTGCAGTCTATTGCTCCAACAACGTTGGGAAATCCACCAACCCGCCAGAAATTAAGCTTGCTTTGCTGTAGCATATTCTCATTAGGGAATGTTATGTGATTATTCTTTAGACGAGCAATAGCTTCCGACACGCGTTTTATAATGCGACTTGCTGATGACTGGGATATTTCACATAAGTCAGCACATGCTAACTGGAACGTACCAGTCGCATAAAATCGGAGAGTTATCAGC